TTCTGTCTACATTCTTGTTCAGACACTATTGTTGCTCTTTGGTTTTTAAAGACAACATCCCATTCTTTCATAACATAACATCTGGGCAGAGTCAACATAAATGACTAAACGTTTCAAATTCTCGACTGCTTTGTTATAGTCTCTAATGGACACATATTTCTGAATGCTTGAAGTCATAAAAATCTGAAACATCTATTCTGTACATTTTTATAAAAATAAAAAAAAATATTTTTTTTATTCTTGACTTTGTTGTTCCATTTGTTGCATTTGTTGTTCTTGAGCTATTTGTTGTTGAAGTTGTTCTTGTAATACAATACTTTCACCAGTTGCATCTTCCAATTCGAAACTTTCTGCCGTCATTGACAAATACATAGGACATAAAAGTTTTACAGGAACAAAGTTTGCGTCAACTAATGTCAACGTTATACTTGCCAAAGTGTTTGAGTTCACTAAGGTTGAAAATTCTGCATTCGAATGAACAATAGGCAAACCAGCAGAGAAAGTATTGTTTATACGCATAAGTATCTTTTGGTCATAGTAGTTTCTGTCGACATTCGAATAACACTTTGAACCTAAGTTTGAAACAATATATAAAATAGGTGTACTTAAAGTCAATGGAACAGACATTCCTTGTATGACACCTTTTCCTGTTATAGGAAACTGTTGGTAGTAAAACCAGATATAAGTTTGTATTATAGCTCATATTGTTTATAGTAAACTCAGTCGGACATCCAAACATAATGAAACCTGCTCTAGTTGCAGCACATGTTACACCCGTACTTAAAGTATTAAATAAGTCAACAAAACCTGTTGGTGGTATATCTGAGTAAGTATCTTCAAAGGAGTATTTTTTACCATTCACAACAATAAAGTCTTCTGGTGTCAAAAGAGCAAAACAGGCTTTAGTCGTCATTGTGTTTAAAGTTAGTTTACAATACCGTCCTTGAGGACTTTGTAAGTTTGTTGTTATAGAATTATATGACTCAGGGTTTTTAGTCGTAATAGTATAAACCATTATATCTTCTGCCATTTATATATATTTAAAAGTTTTTCTGAAAGTGGAGAAGAACTTCATCTAAACTTTCACATGGCGTTTCTTGAAGTTCTCTGTCTAAGAAGTTCAAATATTTTGTAAAGACATAGAACTTTCCTTTGTCTACACGAACAAACAAAACAGGGTCTTTCATATCGTTCAAAAGTGTGTAAAGTCCTTTACATGAAATAAAGTCTATATTATTTTTCTTCAAACATCTTTCAAGAAGTTTTGACATTTTTACTTAGCAAATAAATTTTAATGAAATGCTGTGGTCGTCAAATATTTTTATAACGTCTGGAAACTATACTTTAAGTTCAACGTTTCACCTCCTTTCATAACGTATATCTTGTCAATGACATTATATAAACACCACAGCAACTAATGTCGGGTTCTATTTCTTTGATGTTTATATCGTCTGCCTCTGTCAAAAGTTTCAATAGTTCTTTCAAAACTTCATGAGGTGCAATGACATATGAGTTCACTTTTTACAGGGTTGTGTTCGACCAAGTTTAACATTATACTTAAAGCTTGACAAATCTTCTCCTGAGTTTGAAGTTTGTCTTTCAGTTGTTGGTAGTCGTTTCGAATATCTGCAACAGAACTTAAGTCTCTGCTAACTTCAGGATATGTTGGTTGTTCTTTTACAGGAACAATTGCTATACCATCTTCGTCTTCGTATGGTTTCCCCACTTCAACATCTCTGTCTTTGACATTGACATAACACTTTGACTTTTGTTTGAGTTGGTGAATTTAACTTCACATCTGCCACCGCCATTAAACCTTTTGAAACACTCACGCTTCTATTTTTCGGAAATGACATTTTACTTAGAATAAAAAGATGGACGTATTCGAGTATCTCTTCGAATTGAAGCAAAACAAGTTTACACACACAAACAATACAAATACATTGACAGAATAGTTCTTTATACAAACAATGGTAAATGTTATAGAATAGCAGTCTTTGCTGAACCAAAATATTTTCATAAAGCAAAGAAAGTTGGTATAACTGAAATGGTGAAAGTTCTTGAAGCAGACAAAAATATAACTTCAAAACTTACAGATATTTCTAAAGGTAAGTTTATCTTACAATATTATGTCAAAACTGGCGTACTGTCAATATTTGACGGAGAGAAGTCAGTTCAAGAACAACTTACTGACCTGCTGCCAAAATCTGCTCGATGGAAGCTGTCGTTATGCCAATCTGAGGAGCCCCAGCAGGTTTCATCGAACGAATCTTCAAAAGAGCATCTTCCGTGAAAAGTGCTATTGGTTTTGTAAACTTCTTTGCTCTCAGTTCATCTGGACCGTCTCTGTCACCAGTATATTGTATTTGTACAGTACCAACAGTTGAAATACCACCCATAAAGTCTTCTGAGTCAGCAAATGGAATGCCAAGCCAAAAGTTTGAACGGTCTCCATTTGTATTTGAGTTTTTTTGACCTCCTGTATGAGTCCATACTTTCACATATGGCATAATAGAACTTTGCATTTCAGGGTTTATGGTTGTTGTGAAGTTGTTGTTAAAGTTCATAGCATCTAATGTCAAGTTGTATGACCTCATATCCTCAACTGTAGAATATTCTTCTCTTGGATAATATTTGCCATCTATGTTTATATGATATTTAATACCGGGGTTGTAGAAACAAGAATAGTCATTTATAGTTCGTCTGAACAGTACAAACATAGTATCTGCATGTTTTCATTGCAGTTGTTAAAGCAATATCTGTTCTTGCACCTGGGTCAGCACTTTGGTTTCCAACTTCACCTGCAAAGTCTTTGACAGATATTTGGTGTATAGGGAACATAAGTGGAACTGCAATATATTTGGCAGCTAAAGCATTTGAAATATCTGGGTCCAACATATAAACGGCAAGTCTGCTTTCTATTCTCTTGCATTCAAACTTTTCGCATGTGAACTTAACTGGGTCCGCAAGCAGTTTCCAGCAGCATTGAAATAATAGTTTTACTTCATTGTTGAAGTTTGAGAAACCAAAGTCTAAGTCAACTTTGTCTTTGCAAAAGTCGGCGAATGACGTTTTATTTGTTCCCATTACGTCTGTAAGAGTGAATGGGTCTTGTGTTGGTGCAATGACTAAGTATTTTTGCTTGGAGTAAGTTCAATAGAAATTTTTCCTGCCCAGTTTGGCAAGTATCTTAAAAACCTGAAGATGAGGAAAGATGACAAAGGAACTCTAAGTTTCAGTTTTACTTTAGTGGCAGCAGTTCCATCTGAACCAGAAAGGTTAACATAAACTCCTGGAACGTTAGGGTCAAGTCTTCTTATTTTCTCAATATTTGCATACTGGTCTGTTTGTTCTCTAGCTTGTGGTTGTACTGAGTTTCTCAAAGCGAACCATTCATAGTTTGCCCATGTTACTGTTTGAACTAAGTCAGAGTTAGAATATATCTTATATCCCATGAAAACTTCTGGAGCATATTGGTATCCGACATAGAAAATTCCATTGCAACCTTTCTTGTCAGACAACTTGGCAGAAGGTTTTATTTCAATGTCTTGTTCCACGTATAAGAATGAGTTGTCAATAGAAATAATATGAAACCTGTCGCAAGCAATATCTACTGTTGTTGAAGAACCTTCACCAAACTCACCTACATTTCCATAAGAAACAGCAGTTGTATATTCGTAAGTTCCAGGAACTATTTCTGACCTTCTAATGGCATTGTCGCATTCGTTATACCATTCGGAAACATTTCCGTTCATGGCATCCAAAACTGTTGGCGTTATATTCTGAGCGGCGTACATTTCATATGGGTAAAAATATAGAATAGTTGGATTTATATATCATAAAAGAACCCACTCGGACCAAGCTTTACTTTCTTCCTGACTGAGTTTTTAACTCTTCTTTTTCCTTCATTGCCACTACTTTCACTAGATGAAGTTACTTCTTCACTACTTTCACTTTGTTCTACTCTTCTTCTTTGGTGTCGCTTTTGGTAACTTGCCCTCTGCTTCAAGTCGTTGCATCTTTGCCTCATGTTCACCTAGTATGTTGTAAATTTCCCATGTCCTTTTTGCCTTTGGGCTCTGGTCGCCCATCTCAGGTAACCTATATCCTAGAAAGATTTTGTCATAGTTTGTATTTGAGTCTTCGCGTATTGTTTGCATGACTCTTTCCTGAGTTTCCGGTTCAAGCTCTTCAAACAGAGCTTGTCCATATGGAATATGCTCGTTTCCAAATATATGTTTTTGTAGCCATTCTGGTTTTCTTTCCATGTTACCAATAATATCTTTTGTGAATGGGAAAGCTTTTACCCAATGTTTCAGTCTTGCGTCATTTATTTCTGTAGTTGGTTTTATTTTGTCAAGGAACATGTTTTTCAATACTAACATTTCATTTGGTACTGTCCATTTGAGTTTTCTTAAATATTCATCCCTTCTCGGTTCATTGTCTGCAAAGTAAGTTTTTATGACATTTTGTAAACTTTCGTTTGCAAGGTCATGTACAATAGGTTCTCTTCCTTCTCTCTCCTAACTTTCTTTCTAAACTCTTCACCAATATACCATCTCTATGGTTCTGTGTAGTTCTTTGAGATAAATGTTCTAGAACGTCAGGTGTTATATTTCCATCAGCCATGTTCATTTCATACCGGTCCAAAAATATCTGCATCTTTCATATCTTTCAATGGCATTAAAGCCGCGCTGAAAATACCAGCTACATCTGGTTCACCATTCACTTCCATTGCGTCTACAACTTCTTGGAATTGTGGTTGTAAGTTTATGAACCACCTATCCGGATTAGCTTTATGACCCCATCTCATTGTAGTTCCATAGTCTGCAGAAACAAAAGTAGGTTTGTTTCCATATTGGTTAGGTTCTGAATGAACTTTAAACAATGTTTCATTTCTATATGTTTTGGTGAAATTTAACCTTTATTTTCACCGAGTTCAGCCAAAGATTGAACGTTATATGGTCGTAAGTAAAAAGGATTGTTGTATTTGCGTACACTTTCTTTCAGTTCTTCCATTCTATGCTGAATATTTTCATCTGATGTTGGAGTCTTTTGTATGTCGGCGAACATTTTTCGATATTCTTCTACTATGTCAGCCGAATTTTTCTTAGACTCTTGGAAAGATTCCATATTCTCCGCATAGTCTTGTTGAGGGTCAAGATTTTTCGGCTGTTCCAAATCTTCATCTAGTTCTGTGAAGTTAGTTTCCAAAGGAGGAACTTGTTCGTTTCCTTCAGGCTCTTCTAGCTGTTGTTGCTGAACTATTTCTTCCATGTCTGGTTGTATCTGAACTTCTTCCTGTGGAGTTTCTTGTACCTCATCTGCTGGCATTTCATATATTCCGAGACCGTTTTTAACAAGTTCCCTATTTAAGTCATCCGCATTCATAACCCTTTCTTCTTTCGTTCCGTCTCTATTTTTTACGCGTTTCATGAAGAGAGTTGAATTATCATTTAGCTCTGACACCAAATATCTCGGAGTAAATTCATTCATGTCATTTGGATGATATGCTATTAGATCATATCCCTTAGCGAGCTTGTATTTTCCAGGTTTGAAATTATATCCCATTTGGTGCTGAACCATAAAGCTAAATAGGTTCGGGTCAGTATTTCCTTCCTTGAACTTTCTAATAGCTTCTTTATATCTGTCACTAAAGTCAAGAGTATCTGGGTAACCATAGTCTTCCTTAAGCATTTTTAAGAATTCTTGGTTTCCTTGTTCTCTACTTCTTTTATGTCCTTGCTCTGTTTGTGGTTGTTGCTGTGCAGTGTTTTGAACTGTTGGTTGTGGTGCAGTGTTTTGAACTGTTGGTTGTGGTGCAGTGTTTTGAACTGTTGGTTGTGGTGCAGTGTTTTGAACTGTTGGTTGTTGTGCTGGATTTTGAACTGTTGGTTGTTGTGTTGGTTTTGGTGCATGCCTGTGTCTGTGTCCATGTGACGATGTAAATGTTTTAGGTAGTCCTGGTGCAGGTGCTTCTCTTGGAGGGTTTGGTGGTATATAAGTTCCACTAGCTAGTATATAAGTTCCACCAGCTGGTATATAAGTTCCACCAGCTGGCACATATGTTCCATCTGCAGCATAATGTCCTACCTGACTTTTCGTTTTTAAGAAAGCATTTACTAGGTCTGTTTTGGTCTGTTGTAACTCTTTTTCTTGACTTTCCACAACAGTTGCTCTAACGGCGTCATAGGCACTTTGAACTGCCTGTCTCGTTGCTGCATCTGTTATTTTCGTCATATTTTGTGCTACTTCTCTTAACTCTTTGTCGAAACCTTCAGACTTCAGTTTCTTTCCAGATGAGAAGTCGTTCACTAGTTTCACCTTACTATGAAGAGCTTCGAAGGCATTCTTAAAGTCAGCATTCATTAAAGCTTCATTTGAACTGTCTTCATCCGCTTGTATTTTTGTCCTTATTGACCCTATAAGTTGGGCTGCTTTAGCGTTGGCTTGGGCATCTAACCAGTCATTATTAGCTTTTATATATTCTGCGCTTTTCATTGCCTTTTGCATGGCTGCGTCGTTATTTTTACTTTCTTGTGCTAAGTTTTCATACTGTACGGTTTGGTTTTGCAACTGTAAAAGTTTTTCTGCCTTTACATTTGCTTCAACTTCTTTTTTATACTCATCGCTATCCATATATGTCTTCAGGGCTTTTTGTTTTATTTCTTCATCTTTCAGTACTTTATATTGAGTAGTATGGTTTTTCAAATTTATAACATCTTGTTCCATTTTTGCTACTTCTGCTGCTTTTTCTGACACTTTTTTCGCATATTCCTCTGTACTTAGTTCTTTCAGTTGTTCTTCTTTCTTCTTTTTCTCTACGTTTAACTCATTTAGTTTCTTTGTCTGTCTGTCATATTCTAGTTTCTTTTCGTTTTCACTTATTTGTTTCTGTATGTCTATGTTTGACTTTTTGACATCTGTTATTTGATTTTTGAGTGAACTCAAATTCATTTGACTTTGAGGGTTATAAGCTGTTCCGTCTGCAGCTCCACCATAGCCTGCCATTTTCGCTAAAAGTGCCGCTCTTAAACCTCCACTCTGTGCACCAATAACTCGGCTTAAAAGCATAGGGTTGCTTGACATTTGTTGCAACATAGTGGGGTCATTCATCATTTGTTGTTGCAACTGTTGTTGTGGTGTTAGTTTTACTATTGGATGTTTCAATGCTCTCTTCCTCTTACGTATATTCTTACGTAGCTTACGTGGCATTTTAAGTGAAGTTAAAAAGCGGTTTTTGACAGATGTTTATATGACACTTTTTGTTCAGCACAAAAAACTACTCGGTCAAAGTGTTGTCAGTTTTGTAAAATAACCGTCCTATCTCATTCTATAAGGGGGAAAGTCTTCTCAAAGTATACTTCCTTGGAACGCCCGTAACTTTTCCTGTAGCGACGATAGACCCTTACTTGTCCGGACAAAGTTATACTAAACATCTTCAGGGCTAGAGGGCACGAAGTGCCTGGAGGCCCCACTACCTTTTTTTTTTTTTTTTTTTTTTTTTTTTAATTGGATAGAAAATACAATTATATAATCTTGTACCTGGTTTAATTAAGCTAATTGTCATCAGAAACTTGTAATTTTTATGAATTTCAGATTTTCTTTTCATTACTGCTTTTCTTAATAGGTCAAGTTCTTATTTACGTTATAAAGTATGATATTTACAAATATCAAGTTATCATGTTTTTTGAGAAATTATGAGAAACAAACAAAAATGAAAAAGATAGGAATAGCAATGAATAGTGATGTGGGTATAGAAAATGTAAGAGATATGAATGCAAAGCAATCAGTATTTAGGATATTGACCATAGATTTCGAAAAAAAATGCTGCATATTGAGCGAAAACTATGATTATATTATAAGGCTGTCATTTAAAGCATAATGAAACTATTTCCTTTTCATTTTAATCGAATAAGATAGTAAAGATTTTTGAATTAGCTAGAAACTGATGAGATGTTTTCACAAATCAGATTTTTAATCTCTATAATGCATAATTCACTCAATATCTCAATTTTGATATTGCGAGATATTTTTGCTATCGGTTTCGCAATTTTGACACAATAGCAAGAGGGTTCTATAAGCATTATTATCAACGTAGAATCTGAATATCATATCAGAAAATGTCGCAAATCTGACATTTACCCGACCAAATAGCAAAAATAATTGAATACTTTTCGCAAAAACTTTAAAAATCGATAAAAATATGAAATATAGATATTAAAGAGACTTTTTATATAATATTCTAAGGGTTTCCAAAAATATGATACCGCAAAATTAAAAAAGTGACGTCTTGAGTGGAGTCAAAGGTCGAAATTGCTAGCTAAATGTTTTTTTAGCGAAATTGCGTATTGTACGTTTTTTTCGCAAAACGAAACCCTTAAATAATGAGAAAAATAAAAGGAGAAGAGGAAAAGAAAATGAAAAAAAAAAGAAGATATTTCATAACGGAAGATCTTCGCATTGTATTGTTATAAGTCCAAGGTAGAGATGCATCAGAAGGATAAGCTCGGCGGCCGGAAGCCTAATTTTTTTTATTTTTTTTTAATCATAAATTTTATCCTCTAATAGTTTTGGTAGAATTATAGTCTATCAGACAGAAATTACAGGCTTAATCTAAAAGAATGTGGTATCGTGCTGGCAAGCTCATTTTGTAGCCTTTGAATTTCAATATCTGCGACCTTTAAAAAATGTCATTACTTCTTTGGTATTAGAAATTCAATTAAAGCAATGTTTGGAAATAACATGTGCAGTTAATATATTACGAAAATAAAAAAAAACGATACGATAATTTGTCCAGTGAATAATTAGTCACTTTTATGTTATTGGAGATGCTACATTTTGAGAGAAACCGCATGGTCACCTCACATTGCTCTCATGGAAGAGAAATATGATGTTATCGCTTGTGGAACTGGCTTCAAGGAATGCCTTCTTTCTGGCCTTCTTTCTGTAGCTGGCAAGCATGTCCTTCACGTCGATCGTAACGATTTCTACGGTGGCGAATGCGCTTCTCTGAACATCACACAGTTCATGGAACAGATGCAGCCAAAGGGAGAAAAGCAAGATCTTGGTCCAAACCGTGAATGGAACATTGACCTTATTCCAAAGTTCATCATGGCTGATGGCAAACTTGTTAAGGCCCTCATCCACACAAAGGTCAACGAATCCCTTAACTTCCAATTCATTGCCGGCTCCTACGTTCTTTCAAATGGCAAGGTTGATAAGGTCCCATCCAACGCTAAGGAAGCACTTGCAACATCTCTTGTCGGCTTCTTTGAAAAGCGCCATCTCAAGAACTTCCTTGAGTTTGTTGCTGATTATGTTAAGAACCCAGAAAATCCAAAGTATAAAGATGTTGCCCAAATGAATGCCAAGCAAATTATGGAGAAGCATTCTCTTGCTAAGGAGACAATGGACTTCATCGGTCATGCCATGGCTCTTGAACCAGATGATGAGTACCTTACTCGCCCTGCCACCGAGCTCATTGAAAAGATGAACCTTTATGGCAACTCAATCAACAAGTATGAAGGACAGAACTCTCCATACCTTTATCCAATGTACGGCCTTGGTGACCTTCCACAAGCTTTCGCTCGTCTCTGCGCAGTTTGGGGTGGTGTTTACATGCTCAACCGCAAGGTTGATGGCATTCTTATGGAGAATGGCCGTGCTGCTGGTATCATCTCAGGCAATGAAAAGGCTTATGCTCCAATCATCATTGGCGATCCATCATACTTCGCTGACATCCCAGGAAAGACAAAGAATGTTGGTCAGATCGTTCGCGCCATCTGCCTCCTCCACCACTGCCCAGATTGCATGAAGGGTGAAGTTGATTCAGCTAACATCATTCTTCCACAATCCTCTGTTGGCCGTAAGCATGATATTTATATCTGCTATACATCATACCAGCAGAAGGTCTGCCCAAAGGGTTGGTACATTGCAATTGCTTCCACATCTGTCGAGACAGATCAGCCAGAGAAGGAACTTGACCCAGCTCTTAAGCTTTTCGGCAAGATTGATTACATCTCACTCAAGGTCCATGACGTAATCGTTCCAGCAATTCCAGGTTCTCAGGATGGCTGCTATTGCTCTTCCTCCTATGATCCAACCACCCACTTCGAAACAACAATCGATGAAGTTCTCAAGCTCTATGAGGAAATCATGGGCAAACCAGTTGATTTCGATAAGAAGATGGAGTAAAGAATAAACAATTAGGATTTTATATTAAAACAAAACTTTTAAACTATCACTTCTTATTCATTTCAGCTCTGTGATTTAAGTCTTCAAGATTAGCTAATTTCTTTTTCATCTCTGGAATCACTTCGACCAATTCTTTTGCTTGTGGTCCAATAAGAAAGATATCATCAGCAAATTTAGCTGCATTCATTTTGTGCATAAGATATTTAAGCCTTTTTCGTAATTTCTCGTTCTGGTTTTGAAGTTGTTCGTCATTATCTGTTATTATGTCTTCGCTTTCAACTGAACTAACTGACTCAATTGTCGAATCCTCATATTCATGTGCAGTATCATTTGAATATTCAGTATCTTTGGTTTGGTGCTCATATTGTTTGGAAATGGAATTTCGTTGTTGAAGAACTAGTTCATTAAAAATCTCTTCACTCCTCTGTTTCTGAGTTTGTTGTAATTCATCACTGGATGATTCCATAATCTGTTGTAGTAGTTTTCTTCGATTGAGATGCGAATTGGTCTCGGCATCGCTTTCAGAGACAGCAGTAAAAGTTTCAATGACTTCAGAGCTCGAAGTTTCGTCATCGTTTCTGGTGTTTGGCTTCAAAATCAATCGGAAAATGCTATTCTGTTCTTTAATTGGAAGAGAGTCAATAATAATCTTTTTCAAGCGTCTAGATTCTTCGTATTTTTTCTTAGGTTTATTAATAAAATTAAGAATTGATGGAGTTGATCTGTTTGAAATACCGCATCCAACAAATTTCAGTTCTTCAATCCTATAAGGAGATAAAGATCCAATAAATTTGATAAACTGGTCATCATCTATTTGAACATTCTTGAAACAAATGTTTTTTATGGTAGGGCAAGAATAAAGAATTGAAAAAAGTCGAGGTATCAACTTTCTGTTTAATTGCATACACGAAAATTCAATTCGTGCAAGGTACCTTGTTTTTGGGAGCACAATTTTCATAATTTTCAGCAGATATTCGATAAATTTTGGTTTGACGTTAGCAATTGAATTAGAAATGATTTCCTCTCTTTTTTTGCTTTTCTTCCCGAGGTTTGAGTACTGAAACTCGAAATTGCAGTTAAAAGAAATTGATTCAATCTTTTTACAAAGGAATGTTGGGAAAGCGTTAAATAGCATTTGATATTGATCGCAAGGAATGATCGAAAAATCAAAAGAGCAGTCAGAAAATGATCCATTTCCTATTTTGTACATTGTTTTTGTCGGATACATTTGTTTCATTTTTTTATATAACTGAAAGCAGCCATTATCCGAAACAAATTTAAGAAAAAGTTCTTGTGCCTTATACTTATAATAGCATGTACGATGCTTGCTAATATTTCTCAAACCCGATTTGAAGGATTTTATCAAATTATTGCAACATATTATCGCGATACAACAGATTTATCAACACGAGGAAATTATAATGTTGATTTCAAGATGTCTAATGTTGCATGCATCCCATGCAATTCAATTATCAGAAATCATAAACCAAATAGTACTCCAGACGATGTTATTGTAACTTACTCAATTGGTAAAATCAAAAACATAGGGCCTTTTATACGTTCGCTACGCTCTACTGGTTGCAAGGCATCTGTTATTCTTTTATTAGATTCTGATGCATATAATTCCCTTGACGCATATAAAAAAAGTTTTATTGAAGGATGTGGAGTGACGATTATTAATTGTGGAAAATGTATCTATAGGCAAAAGTTGGATTTTAATTCTTATGGATATATCTGGTGTGTTGAATTTGTTGAGCAGAATAAGCATCTTATAGACAGAGTTATATATGCAGATTTATTCGATATTTACTTCCAAGGAGATCCATTTTATGAAGGTCTTAAACGTGATGAAATTCAAATAGCAGACGAAGAATTAGAATTGAAATTTAATCCTGCCCAGCAAGATTGGATGAAAAATTGTAGTAGAAGTGTAAATGAAAAAGATAAAGATTGGAAATATCCGTGTTCAGGATACTTTGCAGGCGGTGCAGATATATTCCTTAGGTTCATGAAGCTATATCTATCAGAATATAAATTCGGTTCGAATTGCATGGATCAGGGGTTAATTGCTTCAATGATTGCAGATGGGGATTTTTCCAGGCATGAAATACCAATAAATATGAAATTTCCCTATTATATTCGTAATCTTTATTTTACCCATACTTGGAATGGAGAAACTCTTGGAACAATGCGAACTGCATATGATCGAAATCAGTATGCATTAATAATCCACCACACTCATTATAATTATGGGACAAAAATTGCTATATACAAATTCTGTCCTCCTCACGCTCTGGAGTTTGAATTAGACTACATTAGCAAATGCGATCCAAAGTGTGTTGAAGAATTGCGTTCAAAAGTATCTGATTATTGGAATGATATATCGTAATGTTTAATATTCAGTATAAGGTCGTCAGAGGGGAAAAAAATAGTGTCAGAAAGTTTACAAATGTATACTTTTTGGCAAATAGAACCTAAAAAAAAGGTAGTGGGGCTTCCAGGCGCGTTGCGCCCTCTAGCCCGAAGATGTTTAGTATAAATGAAGTTTTTATTCGGAAAATTGTTAGTCTTCTGGGTCGAAAACATTATATAATGTGTCGCTTTTCACAAATTATATATGTTTTCATGTTTTGTCACTTTTCTGTCACTTTTCAGGAAAAAACATTTTTATTATTATATATAAATGAATTTTACAAAACCACCGTTACCGTTCTTTGGAAATAAGAGTAAATGTAAAGATATTATATTGAGAGAACTTAAGAAACTACCGAATGGTCTAACATTTGTAGATTTGTTCGGTGGAAGTTTCTATATATCCCATTTATGTCATACCGTATTTCCTGACTCAAAGATTATATGCAATGACTTCGACAACTATATGGACCGTCTCAAACATATTCCAGACACAAACAATATATTGAAAAGAGTTAAAAGAAAAGATACCTATAGGTAAGATGGAACGTATACCATTAGATAAGAAAAATATTGTGAGAGAGGTTTTGAAAAAAGCAGAATATATAGACTGGGATATATATCTGCTAGACTATTATATAGTGGTGCTATAAGAGTTCATGACATTGAAACACTTATGTCAAAAGTTTTATATCTTAACTATACAAATGTTTTCAAAGAGGACATAGAAAAATATATTGAGGGTATAGAGTTTGTGAGATGTCATTGGACAGAGTTGTATGAAAAATATAAAGACAAGGAAAATGTTTTCTTTATAGTGGACCCGCCGTTCTATAACACATGGGATTTTCAATACCAAGTAGACTGGACTTTGAGAGACTCTTTAGAAACTTTAGACGTTTATACATAACCATCCATGCTTTTACTTTACATCCGATAAAAGTGGTTTAGAAAGTGTCATGAGATGGTTAGAGGACATACATGACTATGAGTTTATATATGACAAGATAGAATATGAGAGAGGTCCTATAAACCGGAGAAAGTGTCACAATAAAGAAATTTTATTAGTAAGTAAATGTGGTTTGAAATAGGACTACTTGTTTTAGGTTTTTTCCATTGTGTCATTTATTTATTTGACGTGGCAGAAAAGTACAGAGAATATGAAGATGAACCAATGCCTGCAAATGTTCAGCGTATGTACTCGTAAGAGATATTTTTATCTAATATTAAATGGACGCACAGAACTTAGCGAATGCACAGCAACCTGGACAACCAAACCCAGAGAATATTCCAAATGAAGTTAGAATACAAACTGCAATGGCAAACTATGGTCAAGTGCCAACAGATGTACAAATGCAAACTGCCATGTCAAATGACGCTGCGTTAGGTTTGCCACCATGGTATGCAAATATGAGATGGAAAGAGTTTTATACAAACCCTGAAGTGGGATATAAACAACTTTATGCAGATGACGCGAACACAGGAGTTGACCCAGAATATGTTTTCTACCAGAGGAGAAACAGAATGTATGAGCTCCAGTTAAAGAATGCTATGGAACTCAACAGGAAACGTAAGAGACTAGGCGGACATTAGATTTTTACATATAGTAAAATGGGTTTCTTCAGTAAGATAGGAAACTTCTTCAGAAGAGTTGGAAGAGGTATATGGAATGGCGTCAAAACCGTAGGAAAAGGAATTTGGAACGGAGTCAAAAATATTGGTAAAAGAGTAGTTCAGTTTGTTGGTATTATACCTAAAGACCCTGAACCAGAAGAACAAGCTCCTGTAATACAACAGCCTGAACCTGCACCACAGTCTAGTTGGCAACCAAATCCAACACCTCAACCGTATTAAAAAATTATATTTTTATCGTTCGATAGTAGTAGTTAGTATGGGTTAGTTGGATACTGTGCCACTGCGCACCTACTTACCCATTATATGTGAATTTGACACTTTACGAAACCGTTAACGTATATTTTACAACACAAACACAAACACTAACTTAACCTTAAATATTTACAAAGCCACCAACCACTTCACCTCACTAATGTAAAAAATAAACGTTCTCACCTACAAAAGTATTGCAACTCCTCCCATTGCTGTGCTTCACATAACAGCTCATAATCTTCTGACTCACTTTCTTCTTCATATAGGGCAAAGTCACTGTCAAAATAAATGTTAGTAAGTTTTGACAAAGCTAATGAAACACGTTTACCGTTTGTATCGTATGCTTGTATAAACTTTCCATTCTTCATTCCTTCATAAACGCTCAAACTAACTTTACCCTTTCTCCCTCGTATCTGATAGAATGTATTTTCACGAGGAACGAAGAACAAATTCTTGAATTCATGACCGTTGTAGTTTGTTATCTCAATAGTTTTCGTCATTTATATAAAAATAAAATAAAAATAAAATAAAAAATAAACTTAAAAATTAATGATATCACCACTCCCACACGTATGAAAACATAGCACAAAAATATATTTAGGTGAAGTGGTGAGATCTCACCTCTTTTTTCACCTGTTTTTTCACCCTGTTGAATTCATTGCTTTATAACTCTCTTCCTTTCTCCAACTCTTCTAACTTCTTCTTAAGTTCAGCAATGTTGTCCTCATGAAGTTTAATCTTCCTTAATATACCTTCTCTATCTAATGGTTGCTTTATCTTTCTAAACTGAACTCTACCATCCTTCATAGTATGAATGTAAAAACCTTCTGGAATAGGTCCTGATTTAATGTATTCTACCAAAAACTTTTGTTTCATTGCTTCAGTGACTTTATTTGTCATTTCAATCAAATAAAAATTTTAATATTAAATAAAAATAACGTTATTTTTTCAGTAAGGAAACGCAGGAGTTTTACGATTTATTTGAGGAGTAGGTTCTGGTTTAAATGTTGGAGTCGGTTTAGGAGTTGACTTTTGAACAGGAGTTTGTACTTCCATAGGTTCAGGAGTCATTGAAGGTTTTGCTTGTGAAGGCGTTGGTTTTGGCGAAGGTGTTGGAGTTTGTTTAACTTCAGCTACTTCAGTATTATTTACAACATTTGCTTTATTTCTTTTCAACATCATAACTGCTCCTGCTGTAGCTAGCAAACCTAGTGGGAGACCATATCTTATATAAGGACTTGACCAAATGCTATTTTTGACAGGAGCTGGTGGAACACCTAACCTTGGTGAGACTGCTCTTTGCCATTGTGCAGCTCGTAAGAAATATTCAATAGGTGCTCCATAATCGTTTGGTAAAGTTTGTTTCATAGATGGTGAAGGTTCACGAGAGCTTGATGAAGAACTCATTTATAAGCTTTAAAAATAAACGTTCATCCTTTATTCCTCACTGTCGTCCGTAGCTAAGTTATAGTCATCTAATCTTATTATGGGGATGCCATTAGCACGCACCTGAATGGCAAAGCAACAATCCCTCATAAATCCAATAAGTGGCTTTGGTACATTTTCAGTTGCTAGTTCAATAGGTCCTTTAACAGACAATTTGTATGTTATTGGAGCAGTAGATGTTTGACCTTGCTGGAAGCAAAAGTCCACTTCTGTTGGAAAACCACATAAGAAATGTGTGTTGTCATAGCTATCCCATTTATGTTCCACACTACCATCATCCACCAATGACCTCATAACATCTTCATTAAATCCTATCATATCATTGTTTGTATTGCAAGCGTTCGCAACCATTTCATAAAATACAGGTCCATATGATTTTTCAGGTTCTGCAGGCATATTTCCATAAGCTCCCATGGAAAGCTGAAGATATTTAAACTTAGGGTTCTCAAAATTAACATAATAGTTGTCTTTCTTTCTAAATAGTGCCCAAATACTTTTAACATTAATAGGCGTATAAGCTGCTGTAAATGTTGCACTTGAACTATCTGTATTCTTTGAGAATGAACCGTCCATAGGAATCCAATCCATAACTTTAACAGGAAAACATAAAGCCTCGTTTGTATAATGTTCTACAAGTTCTGTATAAATGTTAGGGTCTAAAGAGAATGACTTTGGATGAATGAAACATTCATTAAAATCCATCTTTGTTCGAAATAGTTGCTGGGTTACAGTTGTAATAGTAACTGTTCCACTAGCTTCTACTGCCTTCGTTATCATAGTGAATGGTTCATTCCATGGAACAAATTTATTTGTCGGTGGATTTGAATCTGAAGCAAATGCAACTTTAAGAGTTGGATTGAAAGCAATGATATCATTTACAGATATAGATGTGCATTGTAAGGCGTCGCTACTGAACTTTACTTTAAGCTGAATGTTTCCTGCAAAAGCTGGAATAAATCGAATAGCTTCTAATGGAAGGAATCTTCTAACAGGAATTCTTAAACGAAGCTTAAAATCAAATGATTTTCCTGCTGTAATTGGACCACTAACAATTTGTCCTGTTCTGCATGTTCCCGAATGACTCCATACATCTTCATGTCGAGTCTTTGAGAAAACATCTACTTTCTTTATTTGTTCGGTAGTTTGTGAGTTTGAAGTTATATATGCTTCTTCTCTTGCGTTGTCTTGAGAATATACGATACGACCATTTGCAAGGATTTGATATCCAGCAACTGCATAGAAAGCGTCATCGAAACCAATCCAAAATCCTGGTGGGTTTGTTTTATTGGAACCTGAACCAATTTCTTTATCTACAATAAATTGACCTTCCATTTTATACGTAATGAATGTATTGTAAAGGTCCAACATATTTTCACCAGGAGGTGAGAGATTGAATGTTACCCATGTGTTATCTTTAGCAGTTCCAGGTTGTGATGGAATCTTTGCGTCAGAATATTTTCTATTAGTGTCACCAATTTGAACTGCATTGTCTATGATATCGAAATATGAGCGAATCTGATGAATATGCTCTGCTGGAGTAAATTCGTTTAACTGTTCGTTCTGCATGTATTTACTTCAGATAAAAATATCTATTTACTTCATTATTCTCACTCTTCTTCTTGGCATTCGTGGTGGAAGTTGTTTCTTGACATTTTCAATGAACTGTACATTCTCTTTTGTCTTAACTTCTTTCACTGGCGGGTCAGGATTCTTTGACTCGGTTTGTTTTTCAATGAAATTCACGAACTTTGCAATAAGCTCTTGGTTCGTTATTGAAAGTACATCTGGCTTCTTTTCTTCTGGTTCTATTGACTTTTCAGTTTGAATAGAAGGTTTTATATGGGCTTCGTGGACTTCACCCTTGCCATGCACCTTAATGTTGTCGCTTTCTGCATTCGCTAATGGAACCTTTCTTTTTCTTACGTATATTTTACCATCTTTACTCTGACTTACGTAATAGAAAGGATGTTGTATTCCTCTTGCGTCATTTAATATAATAGACTCTCGCTCTGATTTTGACAAGCTCATTTTACATCGGTTAAAGTTTTAATTTTGTTTTTTATCTGCAGTTAAATGACTCAGACAAGCCCTACGGACAAGACCCAAGGGGTCATAGATGTTGAAGCATTGAAGAAAGAAATTCGTGAGCAAATTTTATCCGAACTGAAGGAACAAAAACAAGAACAAAAGCCAGAGAGACCAAAGAGAAAACTTAGTGAAAAACAACTTGCTGCATTAGTTGCTGGAAGACAAAAGAACCCACGTTTGCTGGCGAAGAAAGCTAGAGAAGAAGCAAAAGCAAAGAAAGAGTAAATGGTTTATTTTTATCCGAATTAAATGTATAGACAAATACCTTTATCTGTTGCGTTCAGTAGTGAAAACCCTGACGTCAAAATAAAGGGGAACAGAGTAACGTTTAAGTTTCCAACTGACTGGATTGTGAACATAAATGAAGAGAAGTACATTGGCATAACAAATATGTATATAACGCGTGCTTTCAGAAAGGTTGACTTTATACTTCAAGTCGAGATAGAAAATGACGAACAGTCTTTAAGCGCCCAAAACATTCACATATACAAATACTTTAAAGACGATACAACATTGTTGCAATGTATGATTTCATTTAATGAAATGTTCGAGAAAAAGTTTAACATTGAAGTACAAACTTTACAGCCTTTACGTGAGTTTCTTGCACAACTGAAAGAAGAAGGTAGTCAGCCACAACTTATAGACTTTCATTATGAATTTAATGAAAATGAAGATGGAACTCATGACTGTCAGTTTGTTGTATTCTCACCATTCAATGAAGTCGCTAAAGAGAAAGAAAATCCATTACGTATAAGATTTCAAATCTCTGAACCAAGTGATGATTTCAAGAATGTTTTCAATTATGATGCAATGCTTCCGAGGAAAAATGAATTTTCAAAGATTGTAACACCTGGCATTTGGGATAGAAAGCAAGCTATATTATATTCAAACTTAAGTAAGGGAGTTGAAAATGAGTTCATTGGTCATACAAGAACTACACCACTGCCAAATCCTAAATACTATAAATTAACTGGCTTCAATCGTGAGTTTTGGATAGACATGTTCTCCACTCATGACCATAACTGCCCAGTGTTCTTACCTCCAGACCATAAGGACTGTCTCTACATTGAAGCACAACTCTTAAACTCTACCATCGCAGTATTGTAAAATCTACGCTAGTTTTATTTTTATCACGAATGACCTCATTCATGACCTCATTGCTGACAAAAATAAATGACCTCATTCATGACCTCATTGCTGACAAAAATAAATGACCTCATTGCTGACAAAAATAAATGACCTCAGAACTTCAACATACGAATAAAGCTTGTTTTAGTCGTTATTGAGAAGTTAAACTTCTCTTCAAAGCAAGGTTGACATGACTTACATAAGTCAAATCCAATCTCTTGACCGTCATAAAGTGCTTTGTAAAGTTTCATTAAACTGAACTCAGAGTCTTTGTCATATGTTCCTTGCGGAACCATTAAACCTTTATCTTCATCATAGAAACACTGAACAGAGTCAGGAAACATTTCATTAGCGGTTAAAGCAATAACATCTTGCTTCACGCCTTTCATTCTGCAGTGAAATGCAACTTCATTTAAATCATTCGTGAGTAAGTCTATGTAAGTCTTCTTTCCACAAAATATTGACTTGTATGCTAAACTTTGTTTATCTTTTGTGATTTCTGCAAAGTCGCTATGAAATTGACCAAGGTTTTTACCAATGAGAACTCTTCCATAACGTTTCTCAAACTCTTCAGCTAAACGAGGGATATCTTCATTGTAGAGATGCATACTGTCCGTATCGCTATAAAAGATGTCCATTCCTAAGTCCTCAGCAGTACAGAATACTTCACACATTATTCTCTTCGACATAGACAGAATGTTAACACCAAGTGGACAGAAGTTAAAGTGTCTGCAAATGCTTTTCGTTAGCTTGAAAATAGTTTTATCTGAACCATCCAAACCTTCAAATTTAATGATATGGTTGTAGTTTCTGATGGCATATCTTATAGCATCTTTGTCATTTACTATGGTTATTTTTGACTCAATAGGAGAAAGAATAGTTTTGCCATAAATACTGTTCAGAATGAGCTTTATATTTTCTTGAAAAGGATTTCCTTCTTTCTTATACTTTAACCTTAACTCAAACAACTTCTTTACTTCATCTCTTATTCTAATATCTCTGTTTCCATCGTAATAGTATCCTTGCAACACTTCACATTTGACACCTTGATATTTTATGAGGTCTTGTAATGTTATATGGTCAACATACATTAAACAGCAAGTGTTTGAACTTCTGGGAACGTTAAGTTCTGGATTTAGTTCAGGGTCACAAACTATTAAAGGAAAGTGTCTATGTATTCCAATCTCTGTTATCTTAATGAGAACAAAGAAGCCAGACATAAACTTTTCACCAATGGGTTCCTTTTGGTCGTCATCGAATAAATGTCTCATGAGATACTCTGTGCTTAACATTTCTTTCTTCATAACCTTTGGAATACCTTCTAAAGTATAAAGTCTTGCTATAGCTGATGGATATAATGAAACAGCGTCGAAATCAGCAATGAGTTTCTTTTCGCTCTTTTGTTTAATGTTATCTGACAGCATACATCTTCCACCTTGAATACAGCGTGAAATAAATTCTCTTGGTTTATTTGAGAGGTCATATAAATTTCCATTCGGGAAGTACACTCTGTTCTCAAACAATTTGTTAGCAATTGAACAAATACTAACGTAGTCATAAACGTTTAAATCAAATTCTTTCAATATGTCATTGCGGAACTTAACAAAACCTTCTCTTAAAATTCTTACATCTTGTTTGCAATAAAATGTGCTATACTTTTCTAAGTCGAAGTGGTTTCATCTATTCTGCAACCTTTGATGGAATCTATGTTTTTCATGAATGTATCTGCATCCCGGATAAACTTACATGCTTCAGAAATGACACCAGTTCTGTTGTCATTTGCTAACAAAACACTGCTGTAGTAGTTATATGGAAATACTTCTTTCGGTCCTGTTTGTAAGTTAAACATAGCAGGAAATAGTTTAAGCTTCTTATTTATAACACTGTAAGAGTCTTTTATAATAATTGCCCTTCCTTTATATAAGCCAGTTATTTGCATTGTTCGTGAACCTTTAATGATGGGAGTTCCTTTCACTTCTGTCATGTGTCTTAAGATGAAGTTTATATCATAACTGAGGTTATGGAAATATATTAAACTCTTGTCAGGAAGTCGTTCCAAAAATTCTGTTGCACAGTTCTGACCCCAAATGCTTTCACTCACTGAACCATCTTCACTGTCATAACAGATGTTAAAAGCTTTATGAAAGCCGTCTGTGCTACACTCAAAGTCAGCAAAGAAAACGTGCTCAGGAATGAACTTGCACTTATTTTTATTTACTTCTTTTGACTCGGCTTTCTTCTTCAGTTGTACACAATACTTTGGAGCATATGTCAAATCTTTAAATGGTGCAAGGTTCTGTTTATATAAGTCAGTCGTATATGTGAAAAGTTCTCCATAAGAAATAGGTTCGAAATATTTGCACTCCCACAATGTTTTCATAACATCCCATAACGGTGTTGTTCTATCATAACGAACTACATATTTATCTTCTCTCTTTGTATAAATCTTCATTGTTTCTCAATGTTCATTCCACCACACTCCTTCAAGATTTCTATATAGTTGCGAATGAAATATGTTGTCATTGGTAATCTTTCATTTAGCATGTAGTGGTCTTCAACAAGAAGTAAGTCAATAGTTCTAACAGTTTCACATTCTTTTGGTATGTATCTCTTTATTTCATTATGTCTTGAGTCATTGAAATAACCAATGGTAACATTAAATGCTATACCTGTTGCGTCAGAAATTTCTTGTACTTTACTTTGAGGAAAGTCTCTAACACGAATGACTTCTCTCATGTGGTCAATAGTCTCTCCATCTACTCCAGCCTGAATGCAAGCATAAACGAAACAATTGTCTTCTGTCATAAGTGCTGCAGTTCTTTTGTTCAATTCATTGAAGATTTGGTAGCGTCAAGATTTATAGGTAATGTGCAAAGATACTTCCAGAACTGACCGCTTCTCTTCTTATAAAACTTCTTTTCACCATTATCTTTCCAAAAGCTTTCTATAAGTGCTGGGTTTCCTGTTTGCTTAAGAGCTTCCAAAATGGCTTTCTGGTCATTTGTCAGTGTGCTTTCATCTCTATATGGTCTCTTTTTTGGTTTGCCTTTCTTTACATCTGACATCGTTAAGCCTTCATATTCTGTTAAATCATACATCTTTATTTCGTAAGATTCTTTATGTTTGTCAAGAAGAAGTCATAGTGCATTTCAACAATACCTGCAGCATTTGCTTCTATCTCTGATATAAAGTTCTCCTTCAAGAGCTGATGTAGTAATGTTCCAATATTATTGAGGTTTAACGTAGAACATTCATACTTTCCACCAAGTTTATAACATACCATCCATCTCTGTTGTGAGTTTATTTTAATTTTCTCTAAGAGTCTCATGAAAACCTTACCGAAATGTTTGTGTAAGTAGTCTCTGTTTGGTTCATCTAAAGCTTCGATGTTAAAGTCAATGAGTCTATTGCCTGACTTCACATTTCTCTTCCTATTCTCTTCATCTTTCTTTAACCATCTCTCACCTTCTTTTGGTTTGTCGTCAATGGAACGAATGACATCGTTAGCTTTGCGAACTTGTTCTATAGCGCTCTTAAACATCTCTCTTCTCTGTTGTTTCAGTGTGTCGTCTCTTCTTCTTGTTTCACCAACGTTTGCATTTGTTATGTCAAACATTTCTCTTCTTACTTCATGAGGTACTGAACGTCTATGATATAAGTCAATAGCAACGTCATTTAAAGGAAATGCTCTTGCATGGACTTCGTCCTCGCCGCGTTGCGGCTTTATGAACTCATGAATTCTATCATAACTTATTGCACCATTATAGTCTTTAATGAAGTCAGCGAGTGCTTTTTTGTTTGTTGCGTAATGTTTGCAACATCTATATTAGCTTCTGTAAGAAGTTGTTTTATTTCCGAGTGTTCTAACTTAGACAACTTCCGATACATCTTTAGTAGGAAATAAAAAAAATATTTTTTGAAAAAATTAGATTAGATTTTTTTAAGTTATTTTTCAAAATAATTTAATATTTTTATTTTAATGAAACACATGCAAGATTGCAAGTTCTTTTCATACAATGCTCTCGCTACTGCCATCAAGAATGAGTTCAATAATGCTTCAAATGTTAATGTTATCTTTAACAAGAAGTTTGTGAAAGAATCTAAGTTTGGTCAGTATGTCAGACCATTAGCTATCGTCATTGACCGCAAACGTTATACTTCACAAGAGTTAGCAGTAGTTTTGAAACAAAAGAGTTTCTTCGTGAATGTCAAAGATACTCATTATACTGTTATAAAGAACTCTAATATTGACTTCTTCAGTATTGCTTTAAATCTTTCCGAACAGAAAGAATATAAGAAGGGTGAAACAAATGTGAAATATTATCCTTCATCTCTGAAGACAATAACGAACAAAGATGTTATACAGAAATTCTTACCAAAGGTTGAAGAAGCTTCTATTGACATTGACGAAGGAAGTGAAATGGTTGAAGAAATAGACCCTGAAGCTATTTAAGCAAAAATATATTTTTGGTTAGTCTTCATATCGATATTTTACAACAATTCCCCAATGTATAAACTTTTCATACGCTTTTTCATAAGCTTTATATACCTTCAGAAATTTTGCATAATCTTTAGAAGCATTTAGATATTGTTTAAATGCTTTGTATGTCTTCAGAAATTTTGCATAATCTTTTACATGTTGTTCGTTCTCTTCTTCTGTCATGAGTTCCGAATATTCTAAATTCATGTTCTTTCATATGAGATAAAATTTTATAAAAAAATAAAATTAGCTTAGATTTTTTTATTCTTCCTCTTTGAAGTTATCGAAATATTCTGTTATTTTTTCCTTCAGTAATGTTAAGTCTTCTTTGAATGTAAGTATTGTGCAACCTTTGATGTCATAGTGTGTTTGAGGAAGAGTATTTTTGACAATTTCCTTTATTTGCTCATTCGGTGTCATTGAAATCGGTAAGTTTTCACGATAGAACCAGTTTCTGTCAGATTTATATATTTTAGCTAAGTCATAAAAGCTCTTGTTGTTTCTTCTGACTAAATGCAACATAACCATCTTTATCTTCTTCTTTCTCCAACTCTTCAGTATATATCATATACTTATAACTCTTTTCCTTTCCTTTTGGTACTGAACGCGGTATTCTTTTCTGTATGCTTTTGTCTTTGGATTCAATGACTTCATCTTTTGCTTGAAGTTTCTTTTCCATCTCTCCACGTTCTGCTTTATATAGTTCATCTAACATCATGAAAATATAACAAGCATAACGAGGTGAAGCCCACATTGCTACAGCATTTACTAAAAGTCTATGAACATAATAACCTTTCAAACCAGGAGCCAAATTCTTGCGATTTTCGTACGGAATCTCTTCTCTCGGTTTTCCGAGGGAAGCAATCATATGAGGAAATTCTTCTAAAAGTTCTTTTGTCTGTTGGTTTTCAAACCAATGATATGCTTGCTTTGTAGAACGAAGAGCGTTCATTATACTTTGCATTTGGTACATATCGTCTTTGACCGAACGAATGAGACGTAACTGTTTGTTATACTGTATGTATTCGTATTCTTCATTTATGGCTTCATGAACGATAGCAATTGTTGTGTTCTCTGATGTTGACATTACTGTCTTTACATACAAAATAAAAAAATAAATAAAAAATAAAATTAGCGTTATTTTTCTAACTAATGAAATTCATTATTTTTGTGCTGAATTCAATAAAAATATAATTGAGGTGAAGAGGTGAGATCTCACCTGTTTTTTCACCTGTTTTTTCACCTCTTTTTTCACAAGCGTTTTACATGAATTGTACGATGTATATTTGAAATCCTAAACAATTTCGTAGCTTCTATTTCTTCTTTTAGTACATCAAAAGTTTTACCAATGCCGAAGGTTTCTTTATATTTCTTCTTGACGTCAGACAGAAGGAAATCTTCTGCTGTTGGATAGTTTTTATTAAGAAATGTCAACATATCCATTTTATCTTCTGCTGGCTTTTCTGCTTCTTTCTTTAAGTCTGCATAGTCGCTTCGCATTCTTTCTATCTCTTTGACTGAGTAGTTATATTTTCTTATTGCTGCTTTACATTTTGAACATTGCGGCATCGTTTTTGCGTTATACATTGAAATAAAACCAGCTAGAACAACTAAGGCGTCAATGGTTTTCTTTAACTCAAAAGCTGCTGGTTTTATCTGTTCATTCATACCTTACCTCTTCTATCTTTATCTCTTATCTGCCATACACATTTTGCAACTAATGAAACAAAGTTATCGTATGTCTTAAATTCTTCGGATTTGTAAAGGTCAGAAATATTTTTATAAACCATGTCGCAATCTTTGTCCATAACTTTATGGTTGCAATGAAAACCAAGGAATTCATAATTTACTTTACGTATGAATTTCTTAATTTCTACTGAGTCAGTTGCTTTGACTTCAATTTCGTCGAATTCAGGAATAGTTAGTTTTTGCTGCTGAATTTCAGGTAGTTTAGGCAAATGGTCGATGAGGTCCTCCATTTCATAAAGATACTGTTCATTTGTTTCATCTTTCGCACTACAGTCTAAATTACTTGTTAAAAGTTCTTGCTTTATCTTCTGGATTTCTGTTTCAAAAGTATATGAAGAAGGAATAAAGCTTTTCATCTCTACCAACATTGACGTAGGATTCATGACTAGCGAGTTTGGTGCTGTAGTTGTTGACAGAGTCCCGCCGTTCGTGGTTTGAATTGTTGTTGTGCCGATTGTTGAAATCATATCTTTTATACAAAATAAAAAAATAAATAAAAATAAAACTAACTTTATTTTTTCTATCTTAAGGAAATTCATGAAAATTCGTGAGACCCAAAGGGTCTGAGCCGCTAAGCGGCGAGGGTGAAAAAACATGTGAAAAAACGGGTGAGATCTCACCTCTTCACCTCAATTATATTTTTGGTGAATTCAATAAAAATAAATGGTTCATTTACTCACAATATTTTTGTACAAAACGACCCCAAACTTTTAACTTCTTTTCTGCAGTTTCTAATGCCATCTTAACGAGTTCATATTCTCTAAATTCTCTCTTTAAATCTTCTTGTTCCCATTGGTCTAGTTCGTATGGAGAATCTCTATAACCATAACATATCTCACGTTCATGTTCTAATTGTTTTTCGCACATTTTTCTAACTTCTTCTTCAAACAAATGTTTAGCATTCTCTGCCGTATCTTCGAGTTCTTCTTCATCTAATTTCTCATGAACTTTCTTGTCTATGGAGTCTATAATATCTTTGACATAAAATGCATACTTTACAGAGCACCATTCAGCAACAAAATGAACGAGGTCAGGATGTATGTAAATACCTTTGAATTCATTTATAACACCCTTAGTAAGCTCATAAAATGCTTGTTTTGAGGTCGAGCCACTTTTGGCTTGACCGTATTCTTTCAACCAAAACTCAAGAATTTCCTGCATTTTAGCACTATTGAGAAATCTGTTTAAATGGTTTAACCTTCCCGCTTCTCTTGCCATCTTTGTTGCATTAATGTAACCATCCTTGTCTCTACGTAAGACTTCAATACCATTATAAGTGCCTTTTGTGAATGTTTCGCCATTAGATTTGTTCGTGAATGTTTTTGCTTCGACTGACATTTCTTTTCTTACATACAAAATAAAAAAAATAAATAAAAATAAAACTAACTTTATTTTTTTCTATCTTAAGGAAATTCATGAAAATTCGTGAGGGTGAAAAAAGAGGTGAGATTTCACCTAAAAATTATTTTGTCTGATTTACATCTAATGAAAAAGTTTAGAAGAATTTTCTTATTCTTTCTGGCTTATTTTTGTCTTTCCAGTACTCCCGCTCTAATGGTCCCAGATGTGTTGGCTTCGACTCTCTCAAGTTCTTAGATGGTATAACATCTTCAACGCCTCCTTCATATCTTACTTTATAAGTGTCATCGTTTATGTTATAGCCAAGTATTTCAATAACCACTCCTCGCTTTGCTTCGTCAATGGTTTTAGCAAGTTTGCCATTACTACTTTCGACTAATTTATGACGAGGGTAAAATGCTATGGAGTCGTCAGCAGCTTTTATAAGATATCCATTACCTTGCGTAGAGTCTACGATATAATAGTTTCTACTTAACCTTAAACGTTTCTTTGTCAACGGTTTGTCGTCAAGAACTACACGAACTTTTGTACCAGGAATGAGGGTAAATTGTGTTGAATTTCTGATATTTTGTGTTTGGCTTCGTTTCTTTTGTATATACTTTTCTTCTTGTTGTTGTGTCATTGAATTTGGTGTATGTCCTGTTGTAGAATGTGTTGAGGAATTATATACTTCGAGAAAATGTTTCATTGTTTCTTCGGTAAAGTCTCGCTCTTGGTTTAAATCTCTGAGCGTTCTTATGAAGCGGTTTATGATGCCGAGTATGTTATGGTTATGGTCTTCAGTAGTGTAGTGAGTTATGTTATGCTTAATGAGAAAATCTGTGATTTCATTGCTGAGGTATGCACTGTCTTGGTCTGATGTTAAAGTACTTGGGCTATGTTCTGCTACAAACTTTTGTAAAACTCTTAACACTTCACGAGTTCCTTTATTTTTCATTGGATATGCATATGCTTTACAAGTGTTAACATTAATGAAGATGAGGAATGGTTTATGTCCTCCTTTTCTGCTTTGAATGAGAGTGTCAAATTGGTATGCGTCAGGAGTGTTGGAGTAAATTGGTAAAAAGTAGTCGTAAGGGTTTATTTTTGTTTGATGTACAACATTTTTGTCAAAGAACCTTTTCACTTCAGCTCTGTTAGTAAATCCCCAACTCTTTGCAGCTTCATTGAACTTCTTAAATGACCTCCATGGATGTTGTTCGAATACTTCTTTCAAGCTCATTTATGTAAAGTTAAAGATTTTATTCTAGGCTCAAGCGCGTTCATTGAACGCGGTACCATGCAAATACAGTCACAAATGGTGGCATATAATCTGCACCCGAGCCTGTTGGATTTGTTGTGAAAGTGTGTGAATGATTTCCTCCTGGTTCAGTTGGTCGAAAAGTCTTTTTTGCTGAATTGTTATAAGATGGAGATAAAACGTCATGACCAGCTTCATAGTCTGAGTTGTATAATGGGTGGTCTCTTAATGAGTGGCTATGGTCGCCAGAAAAGTTTGTCGTTCCTGTATGAGTGTGCGGTGGAAGGTTTGCTTCTTTAATTTTCTTCAAACCTCCTGTTTGCTTTGAATATCTAGCACAGTATAAGAATTTATCTACAATCTGCTTCCACGTACCAAAACCTAAAACTGTTTCTGGATTTGTTGAGTTCATTGACGTATAAATAGAGCCTATAGGATATAATGTTTGAAGTATTTCAGTCTTTAATGTTTGAAACTCTGTTTTGTCAGCTTTCTTATCATATAAATCTTGAGCAGTGAATTTAACATTATTTTCATCATCCATGACATAAACATTTTTACAGCTAATTTCTTTCTTCGTTGTTATGTTTTCATTCGATGTTAAACCTTGTGGAAAGTTAGGAGGTTTATAATATAATGCATCCCCACCAGTTCCGCCAACCGTTCCTTCAATACTTTCTATAGCAACAGTTGAGAAGGAGTTATGTGTATGTTCTTTGTCAGCTTTCTTATCTAACATTGCTGGTAGTTCATGTGTTTCAAAGTTTCTGGCATGACCTTCAATGTTCATACATTTACTATTTAAGGAGTTTAGTGTATCTTTTACGCTTGTACTTGGATTCTCTAAAGGTGCACTTGAACCAAGGGTATAGTTCAATATTATGTCGTCTGCTCTAACAGTAGTGAAGGATTCATGTGTATGGTTCTTGTCAGCTTTACTATTTAATGTAGCTTGAAGTTCATTTATATCGGAGATATTGTGTTTATGAGATTTCAAAACTTTGTTCATTGCTTCAAGTTCATCTTTGCTGGCTTTACTTTTAATAGCATCTTCAAAAGTTATTTTTGCCTTAACTCTCAAAGTAAATCTTGGTTCAACTAATACACCGTTAACAAAGAAGTATGAAGCATAAATTTCATTGTTATAACCAAATGCTTCTGGTGCTTTACCTGTGTCATACTGTACAGTACAGTATATGTCATAACCTTTAGCACGAATGAATTTATATCTTCTTTCATTAACATCTTCAGTGCTTATTTGTTCATCCTGTGTTAAATATCCATGGTAGTCCGTTATAATCTGTTCGTCTGAAGTTATATAATGAACGTGGTTCTTGACTTTATCACTCAGAGCTAAAAGCTCATTTTTGTCTGCTTTTTCGGCTAATTTCTCATTAACATCATTCACTTCTAATTCAACTCTTCCGCCAGAACTCTTATTATCATTAATCTTTTTCATTAATTCAGTAATTACGTCATAAAGACTATATTCTGTTTTCGGTTCTGTAAATAATGAGTCAAAATTTCTTTTCATCATTACATCGCTGACATTAATGATATCACCAATTCCTTTTTCATTTATTCTCTTCATTAATTCTGCAATAATGACGAATATATAATCTGTTAATTTATTCTCTTCATCGAGGGTTATAGAATGTTTTGAAATTGAATCATTAACTCCTCTAAATAAATCAATAACTTCAGGATACACGTTTTTAATGTCTCGAATAACCCGACCAGTATCCTGTTGTTCATGTTCTTCGTTCCCGTCGTTACGTTGTTTTATATCTCTAACCATCATCAACGCAGCCATAACCGGAGGGTTTGTTGCTACTGTTCGAAAATCTCCGTTATGTATGGTATATCTAAATAATTTCTTTGTGTTTGTTAAAACATTTGAAACAAGTCTTTTAAAACCATCTACAAAATTTCCTGTTTCACCTAATGTTCTTGCAGCATTTACAAGCTCACCCATTCCCGCTTTTGACCCCAAAAACGTCCATATTGCATTTATTTCACTCTGTATAGTTGTCCATTCAGCGAAACTAACACCCGCATTCGCTAAGCTGAAAATGAAATTCAGTGGATCGAACTTAATTCCACCTTCTTTTTCAATTTCAACGAACTCACTAACATGAGATTTTAAGTATTCTTTCGTTAAAATTGTTTTCCCCGATGTTATGTCATTAACGAAACTATCACCGTCAAAAGTTAACGAATTCAATTTCGTCGTTGATGCTTTTATTTCATACACCGCTTTATCATAGTTTTTGGCTCACCTTCTTTAGAAGCATATGAAACATTAATGAATGAATTATATGTATTCGTGAATGAATTAAAATCAATGATTTTCATTAATGACGCCTTTAATGATTCATTTACTGTCGAATCCCTTAAAGTAATTAATGAACTGTCATTTATGAAAGGTACACTGCAAACCGTCGAGTTTGGATCAAATGCTGTAGTTGGTGCAGGAATATTAATGATATAAGTCATTAAATCATTAAGTGACGTAAATAATGTTGTCGTTTTTGATTTAATTTCTTTAGCATCTGTTATATATGGTAATTTTATTTCTGTAGTTTCTGAATTAAAGATATTCGCTAAAATGTTTTGTAAACTGTTTTGAACAGCTGTGTAAACCGTTGAATCCGGAACTCTTACGATTTCACCGTCCTTAATAAAAGGCATTGCACATGGTGTAGTGCTTGGGTCAAATCTTTTTGGGTTATGATTCAACATATATTCTAATGCTTCATAAACAGACCTATATACGGTTGTATTATCTTTTTCAATAATTTCACCGTCCTTTATAAACGGCATAGTACATGGAGTTAAAATAGGGTCAAACTTTTCATAGTCCTTCCATGTTATGTATTTCTCAGTATTTCCATCAGTGATAACAATATATTTGTCAGTAAGTGTGAGAGAGTATTGACCAAAATATAAACGTTTAGCTCTGTCAGCTTCATACGCATATGCAGCTATACTCATATTTTAATGAGAATAAAATGTTGTTCTATTTGCAAAGTACAGACCCAAACGAATACGGGACAGTAAAGCTACAAACAAACTTAGGTCTACAGAATGAGGCGCTTGCATTCAGAATGGTTGACTTCAATACTATCGCTTCATTCGTTATAACAGATGAAACAGATTTCATGGAGATTGAAATAGATGGAAAGAAGCACGAAATAAGATTTCACAATAATGTAGAATATAAGATGGAAACATTAGCTGGAGTGTTAAATGCTCTCATAAATACTACAATAAACAAGGATAACGAAGAAAACTTAATGAATGTTAAACTTATTGCAGGAGTTTTGAAGTTCAGTTATGCGAAGGAGTTTAAGATACACGAATGAGTCATAGAGTACAACTTCTTTTGGGTGCATACCATATGACATTTCCTTTGAAAAGTGTTGACAAAACGATTGAGATGAAATCTGTTCCATACGTATGTTATGGTAATTGTTTATACATTGAGTCTAAAATAGCTAATGTCACAGGTATTTCAGGAGTTAATAGTAAAGGTTCAGTAGAATATAAATCCTTCTGTTATGCAGTCAATTCAATGTTCATTCCAAACGTTCCTGTCATAGCAACTCATTTAGGTAAATGGGTTCGCATTAGTCCTCATAATTTGAAAGACATGCAATTCAGACTTGTTGACTTTCAAGGAGAGCCTGTAGAACTGAAGGCACCAGTGCGAATGACTGTTGAAGTTGACTTTTTAGAAAATATTAAATGCAACAGCTTACAAGAGAACTCAGAGCTAAAAATATAAAGTATGAATGTTATGTATTAGGTCATGAACTTTGGTTGTTGCTGTTTGATGAAACAAATGAGTTAGTTATGTCAGTCAAGAGAACAGAAAAATATTGTGTTAGTGAAAACTGCACCAAGTCAATAAGATTAGGTTTGCATTATGAAGATGAGTTCGATACTGTTGAAGAAGTTTTGGATAGATATTACAAATTGCTAACTTGAAATTTTTTTTGACTGACGGCGCAAAGCGCCAAGATGGGCTCAAAGAGCCCTCCTGACTGCTTTAATTTACTAAAACATATTTCAAACAAAGTTTATATTCTGTTGAAAGTTTTGTATATTCGTTCGAATATTTATACTTAAACTCAACTCCTGTAGTTCCTGGTGTTTCAATGATGCGGATGTTACCTATTTTCATGAATAGTGGAGTTTGACCACAGCATTCGATTTCAGGGTCGAGATAGTCAATGACACATTGTTTCCCTGTTATTCGTGAGATAACATTTTCAAGGTCCTCCTTTGTTAGAATTATTTGGTTCTTGCTTATAAGATTTACAAAAGCTTCTTATCGTCTTTGAGTAAAATTGTTTGGTATAACTGAAGAAGGTAATGGTCTACGTTATCTGAAGGATTTGTTTGAACATTTGTGTAAGGATTGTCGTTGGCTTCTCTTGAAAGAATTTGGTCCAGTGGTGGATACTCTAACTTAACATCTGATGTAGCGTTAGCGTTTGAAGCTGAGTTTAAATTCACGGATTCAGACTCTTAAGTTCTGGTTCTTTTTCTTTCAAACACTCTGAACTATAGTTCTTTATGACAATATTGTTTGTCGTTCGTGAGTCAACATTTGATGTTGGTTCAATTGGAACATTAACGGCACCAGCTAAGATGGATTTGCTTCTCATTTCATATAGAATAAAAACCTTTTATATGTATGAAATGAACAATATACTCGACAAGGGTTTGAATGTAAAGCTAACGAATGAAAATATTGTTGAATTCACTGAGACAGGTGCTGTGTATAAAGATGTAGAACTACTGAACAAAAGAGCTAAGGGAAGAAGCAGGAACATGAACAAAGGGTGGAAGCCTATAAAAATTTATGTCAATGATGGCTCAGGAGGTTCAAACATAAAGTATGCAGAAAGTTATAGAGTTTATGCTCTCAAAGGTGAAAAGCCTTCATTTAAGAACAGCTATTCTAACGCATATCCTCAAAAGCTAACGGATGGGGAAGTGGATGATATGAATGACAGCAAAAATATTAACAGAAATGGCGACAGAGATGCATGGAATTTGTTTACCATCAGTCAATTGAAGGTTAAACTTTAAAACAATGTTGGTCGTTCCCATGGAATATTTTTGACTTTAATGGTATTAGTCATGATATGAATCTCAAGGTATGAACGAGGAGAGATGAGAGACTTATATGCTTCCCAAATTTCTTCAAAAGGTAATGTTATACCTGACTGTTTCCAAATGAGTTCAATATCATAGCGTGAGAAACCTTGAAAGATAACGAAGTCAGTTATGAGACGTTTTATGTTTAAAGCTAAAAACCTCCATGTTTGCATAAGTATTGCTACAGTTAAGTGGTAATGTCTGACTTTAGTATGATGTTAGCTAATGGTGAGTCTGGTTTTGAACTAAACCTTTTCCGGCGAAGTCGTCACAAACTAATAAAGTGTTTGAAGGATATTTTTTGAAGGGGTATTTTGAAAGTTTTGACAGAATGTAGTTTGTAAGTCGTTTCATATCGTAAACTCCTGAGTATGACGTAAGTGGTGTTTGTCAATAATTCTTTCCATCTCCTCAGAAGTCTTTTGCATTCCTGACTGTATAAATTCAACGATGGCATAATATTTCCTCTTACGTCGAATGTAACGTTGAAGAAATTCAATGAGTTCACTGTCTGGAACTTTAACGACAGAGGCTTGAACTTTTGACATAAATGTTTTCGCTGTTGAGTCCATAGAGTCTGAAGTTGCTGATATAATGATTTGGTCATAATATGAGTCATTTCCTAAACGTTCTGTTATGAGTATATGACGAATGAGGTTAAATGTCTTACCTGAACCCATCTTTCCACAATAGAAATACACACCATTTGAACAGAACTCATAATCTTTGCTGAAAGGAAGAATAAGAGAAGAGTTAAGTTTGTCTGTAGTTTCATTCATGTCTTCATCTACATCATGTATTAAATGCTTCATTTTATCTCCATTAAAAATGCAAGTCAGAAATATTCAGAACATAGCACCGAGTCTAACTGACAAGAGTATAAAGATATACTATGAACATGTTATGATGAAACCAACCAAAATTCAAGAAAGTCAGTATACTTATGAATATCCAAGACACTGGGTAGAGTATGTAGGAGGTGAGAAAGCTATTGAAATCAGACAAGTTAGAAGTATTCCAGCAGGAAGAACAATATTATTGAAGAACTTTAATGTTTTGAGATATAATGATGAAATAAAGAAGCAAGATAGTTTCCCTGTTGCTGTGTATGTGAACTTAGATACAGGAGATGACATGAAAGTTTTTAATACAAAGCTTCAAACGGTAGTGAGAGAACAAACTGACTGCGGAAGGACATCCATTACCTTCAGAAGTTACCATAGCATATAATTTTGAAACAAACTCAATAGATTTTAAAGTCGTCTCTGCAAAGAAGTCAGGTTTTACATTTAATGAAGCAGATGTATATTCGAATGAAAACTTCAAAGCTATTGCATGGTTAGATAATGACGATTGCTTTAAGAAAATATTTAAATACAGTGACTCAACGATGTCAATAGATGACCTTCGTGGAATGTTACCATCGACGTTTACAGTAGAAGGTTCAGCAGGATTGCTTACAAGATTGTCAATTGGTGGTATTTGGTCTCGTGGAGAACATTGTTATAAAATCCAGTATAAGTGAATTTGCTGAAGAATCTATATTATGTCTTTCAAACTACATGTATTCGCCGCCGAAGCATTATAGTATAACAAAACTTTGTCAGTAAGTTTAACATAAACTTGTCGAACCTTCTTCAATGAAAGATGTTGTGCTACCTAAAGATGGAAAGGATGGACTCATTATTGAAATGATTTTAATAGCATATTAAATGAGCTTGTTCTTGAAGGTCATTCATGATGAAATAACTGTTGTAGAAGATGTTAGCAATTGTTCAGACATTTTGAAGCGTATAGATGATATAGAAAGAAGTTAGATAGACCGCAAAGTGGTGAGGGTGAAGCCCGTGAGAACGCTTATGTTTCATTGACTTTCTCCAGTAACGAGAACTTTTATGAGATAATATTGAAGAGAGATGATTTTAATATGGTGTAAATGGTAGCTTGGCAGCTTAGGCGCAATGGGAACAAAAGCATTAGCATTTGGAGCAAAAGCACTTGGAGCTTATGACGCAGTAAATAAAATGAGTGGAGGAAGGTTTTTCGAAGACATTAGATGCAAATAAAGGGAAGATTGGAGGCTGGGTTGCAAAGAAGTTAAGATTAAATAAAATAGGGCTCATAAATAAAGCATCCAATTTGGTTGCGACTGAGTCAGAAAATGCTTTAGGAAAGGACGATGAGTTTGCAAAACACGTAAAAGACTTTAATGACCAGATGAAAGGTGAAACAATGCATTTAAATAGAGTCGATGGAACTAAAGAAAATGTTTCTTCTCCACAACTTCCACCAGTAGTTCTTCCGTATGGTCCCTATGGAATGTATGGAAACCCTTATGAACGACCATTTGACCCATTGACTGGTGGAAGTAACTGGTATCATTACGGCCGAAGAAGAAAGACAGTCAAGTTGGAGACAGACGTGAAGAAAGCAACTAAAAAGAAACCAAGGAAGAGAGTTATAAAGCAATGAATTCAACAGGGTGAAAAAAACAGGTGAAAAAAGCGGTGAGATCTCACCACTTCACCTAAATATATTTTTGTGCTATGTTTTCATACGTGTGGGAGTGGTGATATCATTAATTTTTAAGTTTATTTTTTATTTTATTTTTATTTTATTTTTATATAAATGACGAAAACTATTGAGATAACAAACTACAACGGTCATGAGTTCAAGAATTTGTTCTTCGTTCCTCGTGAAAATACATTCTATCAGATACGAGGGAGAAAGGGTAAAGTTAGTTTGAGCGTTTATGACAACAAACATAATGGGAGATATATAAAAGCAATAGATACAAACGGTAAGCTTGTTTCATTAGCTTTGTCAAAACTTACTAACATTTATTTTGACAGTGACTTTGACCTATATGAAGAAGAAAGTGAGTCAGAAGATTATGAGCTGTTATGTGAAGCACAGCAATGGGAGGAGTTGCAATACTTTTGTAGGTGAGAACGTTTATTTTTTACATTAGTGAGGTGAAGTGGTTGGTGGCTTTGTAAATATTTAAGGTTAAGTTAGTGTTTGTGTTTGTGTTGTAAAATATACGTTAACGGTTTCGTAAAGTGTCAAATTCACATATAATGGGTAAGTAGGTGCGCAGTGGCACAGTATCCAACTAACCCATACTAACTGTAGTTGTATATGAAACTAAGTTCTAAGTAAAACGCATGGTATAATGGAATTATTCTTTTTCTTCCATCTGTAGTAAACCATACTTGAAAGTCTGAAATACTTCCACTCGGCGGTTCATATAACTTTGTAGGTTTTTCGTAAAAATCATTCATCAGACATAAGAAAGAGTTTTGGGCGCCAGAAAATGAAGCATGAACAATAATAGCATCTGGGTCGAAAATATTTTCATATGTTCCATTAGGGTTTTCGACTTCATAATAGTCCGGGTGTACTGGATATGCTGCAGGCTGATTTAACATCCTCATAAATCTATACCATGCCAAGTTGTTATATTTTGTAGAAATATAAACGTTTTCTCTAAGGTCTTCTATTTTATTGATTTTAACAGTTGCATTTTTCCTGTCATAAATAATATCGAGATGGTATTCTCCTTCGTCAATGTTATACTGGTTTGCATATTCAATATAGATATCGTTTATTTTTTCT